GAATAAGACATGTATTTCCATTTTCATCTTCGTTCCTAGGGCTATGCCTGTTACTGCCTCAGGAGAATGTTGCACCAGGAGCTGGCTTTAAACACTGAAAACGACACTTCTTCCAAAGAGTAAAACAGCTTTACTGTACTATGAAGAGCAGAACTCCCCTCTCAGAAAACTCAAAACATGCTGCAAATACAAGGTGACCTTGGGTGGAGGAAAAGCTGATGTTAGCAAAACCAGTTGGGAAGAACAGAGGTCACTTAGGAGTGACTCAGATGTTCCAGCTTTGTGCCACTAGTAGCTATAAATAGAGGAAGGTGCTGACAATTATTTTAACAACACTTCTGTAAAAAGGGAAATAACTAGTGGCATACAATTAAGAAGTTCAGTTCTATTGAAAACCATGAATGATAGCGGAAAAGGGAATGTCAATATACAGTTTTTAAAAGCTCAAATGCTCTGAATGTGGGGAACGTTCTAGTCTATTGAAGATTTTGTTTTGCCTTAAGGTGTGAAAGGAAGTGAGGCTAGAATTCATTTCAGAAATAGATTAAGTGGACACCAAAGGATATTTAAGTTTCAGAAGGGAAATAAGGGTTATCGATGAACTGTAGCAAAGATCACAAGCTCCTTATCTGCAAAGAGAAAGAACCTGCGATAAGCTGCAGGACAAAACAGAATTCATTTTAAAGATAAAATACAGAAGCTGCAGGGCTAAGATGAGACTTCCTCCCTCCCTCTTTAGACTGACACTCTGTTGCTCTCTATGATTTTCCTGAAACAGAATAATCATCTGCTGTTAGCAAAACCTAAGGGGGCGATTTTCAACCTTTAGTCTGCACTGAAGAATCTACTGAAGGGATTGCTAAAATATAGTTCTTTTTCTCCTCCTGAAAATGCTGACAAAGTAAGTCTGGGTGGGGCCTAGGAGGATTGTGCATCTTAACAAGCAGCCCTCCGTAAAGGTTACAAGGGGTCCATAATCCAAACTATTGTCTATTGCTGTAGTCCTCTAACTACAGATTGAGACTTATTTTTGTATTGTGTGTAGTTTTTTTTTGGTACTGGGGATTGAACCTATGCGTGCTTTACTACTCACTGAGCCATATCCCCAATCCTTTTTATTTTGAGACAAGATCTTACTAAGGGGCTGAGGGTTTTTACTAAATTGATAAGGACTTGTGAACTTGTGATTCTTCTGGCCTCCTGAGTCGTTGATATTACAGGCATGTGCCACCATGCCTGGCCAAGTTGAGACTGATAAATAAGTCCTAAAATCATCTTAATGCAATTCACATTTGAAAAGAAACCAAACTTCAGGGTATACTGTGCAGCAAGTTTTTGGATTCATTCATTCATATGTTAGTGTGGACGTAGGGGTGTGTTGAATTAATGAGTACAACGTATTTCAGACTGCATCTCGGCTGAGAAAGTTGGAGAAGCAGTGGCCTAAGGGGATTTAGCATCTCTTCCCTGGACTCTCTCTCACCCTGATACTTACTAAGTGCCAAACCAAACCAACTTCCTCTTTCCTCCTACTTCTATATAGCTGGAAGGATAACAACTAGTTTTTCCTTTACTTTCAGGATGAATGTGGATGACTTGAAAAAAAGCTTGCCAGACCCTGGTACAGCATCAGAAACAGATGACAGGAAATGAACAAAAACCATTTACAACTGGGGAACTTCCAAAGGTCTGAAGAGAGAAAAAGAATGGAGGGAAAGGGTGGGTAGACAATGAGGAGCAAAAAAAGGAGAGCAAATTGAGACATGAGAAACTGGTAGATAAGCCAATACTTCATTCCTTCTTTACAATGATGGTATTAGTGACCCACTCCACTCCTGTCCACAGGAAATGAAGTGGTTTCAGCTCTTATCCCCACTCTTTTTTCTTTATAGCAATGCAAGGGGTCCTTGCTCATTCATTCAGGTAATCCAACTTCTAGGGAAAATAATATTTTTGCAGGCGCTGGCTTGCATACGAACAGGTCCAAAACTTAACCACATGGCAAACAGAAACGCAGCAACAGAGAGAGCACCATGCATAGTTAGAATGGTGTGCTGTTTATCCCACCCGGCCTGCCCACTCTGGCCTTTGCAGATCTGTAGGATCTCTTCCACCAGATCTGCTTAGGAAAGTTTGCAATGGGGCTTTGAGGACTGAAAGCCAGTCCTCAGTCTGATTGCCAACCTAGGCACTCTGGCTTGAGCTATCTTCAACTTGAGGAAGGGACATTTTCTAATTCCCTAGCCTTCTCTCCATGACACCACCCCAAGGTGCCTTCCCCTAATTTTCACAAAGGTTTATGACAGTTTAGCAACATCCCAAGTCACTGTGCCTTTTCACGATGTCGGGTAATCTTTCGGTGTTCAAAAGACCCAGGCACAATTAACAGTCTTGGCTGTGAGCTCCAAATCTTATCTAATGATGGTTGCTCTCCTTCTCAAGCACTTCGGCATTGGAAGATGGTAAGCAACAAACACCTTGGATGCAAGCCCAATCAGAGTAACAAATTCACTTTAGAAAGAAGATACTCGAGATATGGGCATAAACCACTCCAATAAGTCCATAGTTTTAGGCCCCAGGCTCCTCATTTTCTTCACTTAACTTGGAAATGTTAGGTCTTGTAATTCTAGGACACCATATATTTTTATTTTTTAAATTTTTTTATTTTAAAATATTTTATTTATTTATTTATTTTAGTTTTGGGTGGACACACATCTTTATTTTATTTGTTTGTGGTGCTGGGGATCGAACCCAGTGTCCCACGCATGCCAGGCTAGCGCACTACCGCTTGAGCCACATACCCAGCGCCGGACACCATTTATTTTTGAGAGTCTTGTTTTGTTGGGAATCAGTTTAGAAAAAAAAGTGAAGTTACATGGGAATGCACGAGTTGCTGCTATTTAGGACAAAGGACTGAAGTGAAGGGGAGGGGGAGCATGTCATTTATTCACGCTGACTCATCTATGAATGTGATGTTGTGGCCTCCCACTCACAAACTGCCACACAGATATCCAAATGAGTCCATCCACTTCCATACATCATGTCAATAAGTGGATAGTACATTTTTTTCTTTTGAACAAGATGTATTTTTTAGTATAGCTACTTAAAAATAAAAACTATAATAACTTGCACATCCAATTCACTGTCATTATCTCTGCTAAATGCTTCCAGCACAGGTGGGATAGGAGACAGATCTTTTGTATTCCTGGCCATCAATAATTGTCCTTTGAGGAGACAGCCTTACTCAGGATGAAAAACAACAATAAAAAGAAAAACGACTATTTTGTACTTGTTATTTCCTTTTCCTATAAGTAGGGATAATAAATATCTCTTAAAGGACAGGGCTATTGTGAGGGCTAAAAGTATATAACATGTACATAGCTCTTTGTAGGAACTCAATACATGTTGGCATTCTTTCTCTTTGGTCTGAAGGAGGATGGGTTATCAAGCATGCTCTTCTCTGCATGTGTAGAAATTGAAAGGAGAGAAAATCAGGAGGGGCCAGCCCTCTTGGCATAGCAGAATTAGCACTGAATATGTGGCCTCCACAGCCTAATGGTGTGCCTCAATTAGCATATCAGGGTATGTGACTTACCAACCCGAAGTAACTATTGCGTGGTAAACAGGTGAACGGAGCTATCTTGTGGCATGGGGCTGACCCAGGTTTCCCTTTCTAAAATGCCAGAGACATTTTTGCTTTTCTGTAAGTCTAATTTTCTCCTGATGCACAGAACTCCAATTCTAGACTCTGAACATGTGGGAAGACATACATTCATTCCCTCAGTGTACCACCTTGGATATCCCTATGCACATGCTTCTTTCTGTGTTAGGATCGCCTCCCTCCCCTGCCCCTTTCTCCACGTGGTCAACACCTACTTGTAGATGCCTTTCTTGTCCCCTTTACAGTCAATTAGGGTTCACCTTCTGCACTCCCAGGCTGCTCTGACTTGTTCTACCACTGTACTTATCCCATTATCTCCCCACTGTTTTCGAGATTGTCTTCCCACTCAGCTTCATGCTCCCTGAGGATTTGCAATACATTCTTTTAGTGAATGAATGCCCGATTTATGTATTAAATGAATGAATGAGTGTGTGGTGAAAGAACGGACCCAGGATTGGGACACAACTTCCATACTATCCTTTTTCTTTTACGATACCTATTTTGTCTACTATAAAATAAATAGCCAGATTTTATGGGGTGGTTAGGGAAACCGAAGTCTTAAGAGGAAAAGGGGGATAGTGGCCTGCTGCCTACTTTCAATCTGACCTTATTTGTTCTTCTGGGTAAGATGAATGACGAATCTTTAGTTAATAGATTATTAATTAAGGGAAGAGTCTTGGTCCTCAGTAAAGTGGGGGCGAGATTATTACTATTTTATACATTCTAGTGTTTTAACAAAGCTCTATCTCTAGAAAGGAAGCCAAAGACACCTCCTGAACACAGCTCTCCTCAGCCAGGCTCCATAGACATTGATACATATGTCTTGTCTGAACTCTGCCAACAGCTCTGGATTCAGCTCTGAGTGAACAGTGAAGCGACTGTCATAGTCAGAGATGGAACATCACCAAGGCCCACCCTGTCCTGGCCCAAGAGAACTTCCTTACCATCTACTCTAAGTCCGTACTTGAGGATTAAGCCACATTGAACCCCGGACCCCTTTTCAGAGAAGCTATGAGTGTATGATTCCTTCCCCCCTTCTCATGAGGTTGGAATAATATACTAATAATAGCTCCGTGTGATATTGGAGCCTCACATTTTCATAAGATTTTGAACGTAAATACATTCCTAAAACCTACACTGCTTGAAAGCAAATCTTCCTTGCTTTCAAGAATAACTTTGCAGGGATCATGTTTTGAGATAGACCAAAGCCTCTGGAGATCTGCCTTTGGGCTCTGGTTTGTCTCCTTGACTAAGCCCATGGAGGGGTCTGCCCCATGCCTGCACCACACTGTGAAAAACTAAATTTGACCCCCCGGGAAAGAGAAGAAAGCTTCCTGACCTTGTGCAGCTCCACAGGAGTTGGGGACATAATCTCCTTTATTTCTTGCTTCATTTTTCTCAGGGTCACAGACTTCCTGCCCACATCTGAAGGCAGGGTGTTGCTCCGAGTTGTTTGGCTGTAGTGTGGCCGTGAGCTGCTCCGTTCCTGGAAGCTGGCCTGTCGCCCCAGCTGGCTGCGAGGTGTTGGAGCCTCGTGATTCAGACTCATAGTGCTCCCCGACATGATTGTTGCCTGTGGCATTGACAATTTTCAGAAATAATTAAGCCATGGGTGAGGAAAGGGTTTGGTTGCTCAACGTTAAGCATGATTCTCCTTCTTCCCAGTCAAAATACATTCTCTTCAGGGCAGAGGCAAAGGCTGGAGAATGGACATACTAATTGAACTATGAAAGTCTGGAAAATGCTTTTCAAGTGACATTTGTAATGCACATTTAAAATCCAATGTAAGTACTTAAGCCTGTGTTTATTTAATCAAATACCACCCCTAGCAGTTTAAAAACAACATTTGCTTACTGCAAACTGCATTTTAAGCATTAACTTTCCAGTGAGTGGGCTCTTGTAGAAATAAGCTAAGAACCTCTCAATGGGAACCAGGCTGCTTCTAGTTACAATGCTATTTCTAGCTCCAACTGGAGTTAACAAGGGGTTGGAATGGGATTATGGGTACACAGGCAGTGTATCCTCAAGCTTCCCACCTAGCACTATATATTGTCTGTCAAGTGCCCCATCCTAGAAGTAAGACCAGGTTGACCTTTACACCATTTGATATAGATCAGTGTTTCTTAGAAATGGTCTGTGCAAGATCTGCAGAGGATAATCATTTTTTTTATGTTATTGAATTCAACCCTTTGTTCAAAAGCTATGCAACTTGGATTGGATTTTACCAGTGAATTAGGAAGTTCGTTTAGTTTTAAATGTATTTCCTGCATAATACTTAAGCAAGGATAATATTAGATGCCAAAGTTGACTGAGTCTCAGAACTGGAACAAAAGAGAATATAAAACCAGTATCATGTTGGGAATGTTCATTTCTCATGATAAGAAGATGCTAAGATTCTAAAAATATGACTGTAGCCAGCTCTGTATTCCTAGATAAGATGGATATATAAAGGTAAACTAGCACTGGTAAATATGCCTACAATCATGGAAATGGAAAACATGCTCACTGTGTATGTGATTGGCTAAAGCATGATTTATTCATATTCATAGCAATGCAGAATTTAATTTGATGAGTCCCTGGAATGTACTCACTCATTCAGGTTTTATAGCAACTCTATGATGTGGGCTCTCTTATTCCTCCTGATTTACAGGTGGGGGACTGGGGCTCAAAAAGGCTGACTTACTCCAGGTCACATGGGCAATCTTAGAGCAGAGGGCACTATCTAAACCTATTTACCAGAGGGAATACTGCAAAGTGAGGGGTATTTTCATTTGCCAGCTCTCTAAGATCCATGCATTACTAACAATCAAGACATGTATATGTATCCAACAACTATGTTGAAAAAGAAACAATACCAGCAAACTTATTGATATTCTGACTGGATGAGTTATCTCACTGATAATTTTGAAAAGGAAAATTATAACTTAAAAAATTTCTTGCAAATCATTGAACATTAGTCCATGCTAAGTGCCCTATACATTATGTGCTGATCACCATTTAATACTTAATTAACTCTATAGGGTAGGTATTATTATGCTTCCCCATTTGCAATAAGGAAAGAGATGCCTGAAAGAGTTAAGCAATTTCCCTGTCAGTCTGGGCTTGGAATCCCAGCAATATGGCTCCAGAATCTTTGGTGACCTGGGTGAGTTGCTTCATATTCCAGCATTAACTATATAAAATGTTTTTGTATATTGAAGTTCTGGGGATTGAACCCAAGCCCTTGAGGATGCTATGTAAGTGTTCTACCACTAAGCTACATCGCCAGCCTCAACTTCCTTTTTAGTAGGTAAAAAGGCCCTTAACATTTAACAAGTGTAGACATCCATTTTATAGTTTATTTCAGATAGATACCTTTCTAAAATTTATGGAAACCTTTCCATGGCCAGTTGTGTTGGTGTTATGGGACATCTTTTATTTTCTGGCACTTACATATATCATTTCTGTGTTTAATCCACTCTAACTGACAGCACTCGATGATTGTTTTCCTGTTGTGGTGACCATGCATCTATTATTTTTACCTACTTAGACTAGTTATTTGCTGTGTGTGTGTGTGTGTGTGTGTGTGTATATATATATATATATATATATATATATATATACATGTATGTATTTACATTGATTTTTCACAGGACTAGCAGGAAACATGTTGGAAGTATAACAATCACTACATCTGGGCGATGACAGTTCTGCTTTGATGAGTCCCAGCTGCCACAGAAGAAGTTACAAATGGATTTCAAAGAGTTCCACTGGAAGAAGCGAGATGCTAATAGTTTTTCAGTTTTCAAACTGAAGTTTTCAAAACATGGCTTGATTGCTTTGTTTAAAGTGAGCTTCAGGTAAATTAGTATCATCCAAAAAGGAATAAAAAAATTAAAGTACATTATAAGTTTGATTCTGACATTTAGTTTTTAAACCTTCTTCCTTCATAATATATTAAAAAAATAGAGCAGTGCTCATTAATCAAGAAATGGCAAACATAATTATAGTTAATTTTTATTGAACATTTGTTAAGTTCTATGTTCTTAAGTACTTAAGCTTATTCTAATTTCCATATTTTATAGAAGGAATATCTGATAAGACATGTTGAAAATTTGCTTAGTCTCAGTTTGAATTTTTCTTTTTTGGTAAAAGCTATACATTTTTCAGTGCTAAAGTTGGACCTAAATTATTGCTATCAATAGAGAAATGATTAGTAAATTGATTGACTTTCATTTTCAGGTCAATTGAGATCATTTTTTATCTTAGTTAATTTAAACTTTTTAGTGCTATAGTATACTTTAACTTTCAAAATTGGATGCAAATTTCACATGCAGGAATCTAGCTCCAATAATTTTTTTTATAACAGCATTTTCAGTTAAGGGAATGGTGTTCATTTAAACTAGCAAGTGAATATTCTTTGTGGTAAAAGTATAAATATGACTCTAATTTGTGAACTTGTCATTCTGACTAGCCGAAGATTTAATTTCTCTTTAGCATTCAGTCCATTTTCTTTCTGCATATGTAATTTCAAGGGCCACACCTGCAAGGAATTATGTTAGAAAGAATGTCATGATGTGACTTTTATGCTAATGGATGTTGTTTTCATGAGATAACTCAATTTCTGGGTGAAAACACAACCTCATCACATTACTTTTAATATCATCTTCTTTTTGCCCAACATAAAAGAAGCAAGGAGAAGAATAGTTTGTTTTTTGGAAGAGAAGTATTGAAATGAAAAATGAAAAAGGCAAAGGAGACAAACATGATTTTTGAAAGAAGAGAACAGTCAAGAATTATGAATTGAAGTGTGACTATTGTCAATTTCTTGCTCACTTTGGGCCACTCTGACTCATTATTCTACATACAGGAGGTGGTAAATGTTCAAATAAACTAGCTGAAACTTAAGCATCCTGTTTTTTTTTTAATTGTATAAAAAGAAATCAATTGCTCATGTCTTGATTCATTTAAATTATATAGAATTATCCATATCCAGGTCCTTTAACTGTGCTCTGAAGCTGAAATTCATGCCAGGTAATACAATGATGTTTATAAATTCAAACTAATGTTTTTCTTTATAATTCTCTTTGCAGATTCACAAACATTAGAATCACATAAAATATCCACACATGCAATTGAGAAGCAAAATAATATAAAGATGAGTAATCATTTTAGAATTGCAAGAGTTTCACCCAGTTATGCCATTCACATTCCTTATGGTGACTTGGGAACCTCATGTGACATCAAAATAAAAATGAGACTTTGCCACTTATTTTTTTTAACAGCTTAGAAAATTTAAAAGAACATAAAAGGAAATAGTCCAGGACTTCCCAGACTAAAGTGTGAATACTGTCAGCAAATTCCTGGCTTTGATTATAAGAACAGTCAGGAGTTCAGCTGTTCCACTCCGTCTTGTTCACTTGAAGTTAATATGGAATCAGAATTTGCAATTAACACAAAGTACTATGTAATATTTTGCCTGCTTATCAAATAGACTGGCCTTTTTTCGCCAGCTGCATTATTATCTCCTTTAAAGGCAAAACAAGATAGAATAAAATTTCCTCTTATGTTCCTCTTGACGATCAAATTAACTTCTATACCAGTTACAAATGAAAACATGCCAAAGAAACCTTTCTAAAGCAACTAAGAGAATGAGATGCGCCACTGCTGGGAGACTTAGCTCGCTCCTTAGCCATTTGGTAGGGAACAGTCAGGGTTAGCAGGGAGCAATGGCAGAAGCCACAAGTCAGTAAGCTTGGGGTGGGAACAGGAAATAATACTTTCAACTGCATCATATAAAATCAAATTGCTGTCCAGAGGCAAGGAGGCAGGGGAGGCAGCTTCACAAGCAAAAATATAAACATAAAGGGTAGCTACCAAGAGAGTCATGTTTCTCAAAGACACACGCCTGTCAGCTTTCTCCTGTGGAAAGGGGTTAAAGCTTTTAAATGAACTGGTGTGATCAGTGCAAACTTAAAAGGACCAAAAAATGAATGTAGAAACAATAAAAGCAAATAGCAGGACCGAGGCTACCTCGAGTTCTCGCAGAATTCCCGATTGTCCACAGGTTTCTAAATCCTCCAGCGCTTGAGACCAGAAGTTCTCCTCCTGCTCAGCCTCTGCACAGTCAGAAGTCCCTGCAAAACTGTCACCATGTAACATAGTCAGGGTTACGAATTTACCAAACATAATTTTTTCTCCATATACCGAACATTTCTCTTTTACCTCAAATGCACAAAAAACAAAAATAAAAATAAGAGAGAGAGAGAGAGAGAGAGAGAGAGAGAGAGAGAGAGAGAGAGAGAGAGACTGAGACTTTCATTTGGATATGGCTTTCTTTTAACTGTGGCCTCTGAGTAAAGCTAGCTTGGGTGTAAGGATATTTAGGAAATGCAAAGTGTCACAAAGAATAAAAGATTGGTCCATGTTTTACCGCTGACTTGCAGATTATTCGTAGCTACTGCTAAATGAGCTGCATTATTGACATAGCCCTGTTGGAATGGAGCTCAACATGGGTGCATATCTTAGCTGATTCAATCCCCAGTACGGAAAAACATAAAAATCAATAAGAAATGAGAAGGAGTAACGTACAAACTGAGGACATAGTTTATAAAAGTTGACTTCCAGAGACAGAGACAGTGGTGCACACCCATAATCCCAGCTACTCAGAAGGCTAAGGCAGGAAGATAGTAAATTTGAGGCCAGCCTCATCAACTTAGTGAGACCTTGTCTCAAAAAAGGAAAACACACACACACCTACACACAAAAAAACCCTGGTGACTTACCCCAGTGCTACCACTGTTTTCACTGGAGGAAACCTAGCTGTTGTGTTGCATGGTGGTGCCAGGCTGTCACTAGTCAGGCACAAGTTTTAGAACCTGCCTTATGGCCAACATGGATGATTATGGTAGCTTCAGGAAGTCAATGGTAACAATATGTGCCACAGCAAATAGAGAACTTCAAATCTTACCCAAATAACTGACCACAAAGTGATCTTAGATGGGGCAGCAGTGGATGGAAACCTTACCCACTGGTTGTGGAACGGTCCCACTCTTCATTATTCAGGCCCACATCTGGGTAAGTCTGGCTTCGAGGTTTGGGGACTGGGGACAAGCTTCCTCTCTGTTTTGGACTCCTCCAGTCATAGGTGTTGAAATTGTATCCTGAGGCCTGAAAACTGGTGCCTAAAATATAAACAAAGTGTTAAGACGGGGCCCATCAAGAAAAGACCTCATCCATGAGCAGAGAGGTGGCACAAGGCAATAGCAACAGCAGCAACGACCTTGAGTATACAGTGGTGCTTATTATGTACAAAGTGCTCTGTGCACCTTCTTAATCTTCAGAGCCAACTTTGAAGATAGGTACTATTGTTATTGTGTTTTATAGCTGATACCAAAGGGTTAGAACAGCCACATCAGGTACCCAAGGTGACTTGCCGACTTTCCTGGGGGTTCAAGCCATAACTTGAGGAGAATCAATCTTCAGATCCCCAAGTTCCATAAGCACTTCTTCCCCATCTGACATAGCTGATACCATGCCAGTTCCTCCGTCTCACTTCCCCTCTCTTAATTGCTCTTTTTCACGTTACAAATGAAAAACACATTTATCATCTATTTCAAACCTTTGAAGGTGCTTGGCTTGGGGGATAAAAAAAAATCCTCCAGCTGCTAAATCAAGGAATAATCTAGAAAAACACTCATTCCTATGAGCAGGTCTTTTAGAACCTAGGTCTTATTTTAACCAGGCAAACGCATGGCAAAGGTTTTTACTCCTTTCTCATCCATCTTTCTGTCTCTCAGGACTGCAGTTCAGAAGTAAGATGCCAGCCTGAGGAGATTGGTGCATCAGTGTTTGTTTGAATTGCAAAATGAAGACTGACTTCTTTGTGACAGGGAGTTAAGTCTGATTTGCTTGACAGGTAAGGGAGTGAGGGATGTTTTTGGCAATTAGCTTACATAATGGACATTTCCCATGAGTTTGAGTTAAGGCAGTGGCTTCAAGATTTTGACAGAAATATATTTAAAGCATATTTACAACAAACTAGAAATTACATTTAAATTGGAGGAGAAAAAAATGTTGATGATAACTTTATGTGACAGGGTATGAAGTTTTTCCAAAATTCTTCTGTGGGTTCAAGTGCGACAATAGAAACTTGACTCTAAGTCTGACTCCAAAGTCATAACAATTGCTTCGCCCACCACTTTGGGTTGTGATGTATGTGTGTGTGTTGTGTATGTGTTTACATGTGTGCAATACAAGGCATATACATTGAAATGTTTCAAGCACTTAATATAGCCAACAGGCCTGGGCCCCTGTTTTCACATATAGTTAGATAGCCTGCTCATGTAAGAGGACTGTCTCCATTGACATCCCTGCTGCATCTTCCCATTCACTTTCCCTCCACTGAGGTCACAACTTATGATGTTCCTCTGGCTACTAAGTAGAGACCAGGGAAAGCAGGATGTCTAGGCATAGTGCTCCCTGATCAAAACACTGGATCTCAAGAAATTAGGGCAAGTCCCAATGCCCACTGATGGAAATCCTCTATGAACCTTCTGTTCCAGTCCTCAGAGCAAGGGAAATATAGTAACAGTGGTCCACGTTATGCTTTGAATATAGCCCTTGCTGCTCTCCCACTGCAATTTATTTTTGAAATGAATGTGTTTCTTTCTCTTCCTCGCCCCCTGCTCCTCCCTAATCTCCCCTGCCCTAATCTCAGGGGAAACAGGATTATCTTTCTTCCTCATTTTAGGCAGATTTAAACCACCACAGGAAGGAAGTAATCCAGACTTTGGGATGGTAGTGCAACATCTCAGAAATAACTGTCTCCCAAATTAACAAGTGAATTACAACTCCAACAGAGAACACATGGAAGGTAACCTTTGAATCACCTCTTTAAGAGCCTGCTGATGGGCAGAATCACAGCCTCTGGGACAAGAGTTCCCTGTATTTCTCCTTTGCTAGCAAAGCATTGAACCTTTCTTTCCTTTTTTCTGAAACCCATGTCTGTATTATTGGATTGGCACTGGGGACAAGGACTGAGCTTTCAGCAACAATAACACTTCACTATCTCATTCTCTTGGATAACTGCGGAAGTGTGGCTGGTCATTTTTATAACCCCCTGCGACAGGCTATTCATTTTCTCATTCCAAACCAAACCAACCAGCCCCTCTTATGCAAAGTCTCATTTCTTCTTATACAAAAGGCAGAGACTAGTACTCCACTTTCTTTAACTGGCTTTAAACTCATTAAGAACCAAACTCATTGGTGGTGTCCTCTCGGGGTCTTCTTTTCAGATAAGCATTAACCTGTAAGACTGTTAGGTTCTCTTAGGAAATTCCAACATGTTTTAGACTGAGCAGAATAATATTCTGATGTTCTTCCCATTATTTCTAAGTAGTTCTTGGTGACTTGGGTGGGAGTAAGAGGATGGGCTTGAGCAGATGTGCAGCCCCATCTGTAGGATGCAGACCAGGAAAGGCACATGCATCCCTAGCAGCCATGTTTACATTTTGGTTTTTTTTTTTTTTTTTTTGGTACTGGGGATTGAACCCAGGGGTTGCTTTACCACTGAGCCACATCCCAGCCTTTTTAAAATATTTTATTTTGAGTAAGATCTCACTGAGTTGCTTAGGGCCTTGCTAAGTTGCCGAGGCTGACTTTGAACTTGGGATCCCCCTGCCTGAGCCTCCAGAGCTGCTGGGATCATTGGCGTGTGCCACTGCACCCAACTAGGAGGCCTTGTTTTAATGAGTGCTATAAAATGATGCATTAGTAGAAAACAGAGCAGAAGAGAATAGGATTCAGATCTCTTTGATAAAGTCAGAAGACCTGGGTCTGGTCCCAGCACTTCCCTATGCTATGCTGATCCCAAGATCAAAGTAAGAAAAAACCTCAGTCCACACACCACCCCATTCCATCGCTCCTCCCCTGGTAGCCTTGGCAAGCTACCCTTAGTATAAAATAAGGATGGTGATATGGGCCATTTAAAGGGAATAAATATACATAAATCATACAAAAGGGCTTAAAAACCAAGGAGGTTTCCGTGAACATAGCCATCCATTGTTGTTATTTACTATACCCTTCAACCCTTCGAGATCTCAGCTTCCTTACTGATGAGGTAGGGAGACTAGGGCAGGAGGTAAACCCCAGCATATTCATGCAGTGAACATTTGAGAGCCTCCTGGGTGTCAGGTGCTGTATGGGAAAACTAAATACAAAGGTAAATAAAACTAGGTTCCTGCCCTCAAAACTGGAACCGTTGGCCATGTGTATGGGAGAGGAGGAGGAGAAAGTGTGAGTTCTAACAGCATGTGAAAGGCCCCCTGCTGGAGGTGGAGTGTGGGTCATAAAAGGTGCCACATGAAAGATGGCATATAAGCTTGGAGAACAGGCTGGCATTGACCAGGTGGAAGTGTTGGGTAAGTGTTGCCCAGAAGGAGAGAGAGAGAGAGAGAGAGAAAGAGAGAGAGAGAGAGAGAGAGAGAGAGAGAGAGCGAGCGAGCGCTGTTGTCATGAACCCTGATTCCCGTCCTTAATTCCATCAGTGGTTTCTACTTCACTCCCAGGGAGGAAAAAATATTCTAGGATATCCTGGTCTTTTCTACTCCCTGTACATACTCCTTTCTCAGGGGAGGAATGTGATTTGCCTAATCAGTCAGATTTGGAAAAGGACCCTGGGCCTGTACGTTCACCCTTTCTTGCCTTTCTCTGGGCTCATTCTCTCCCATTGCTGCTGTGCTATGTGGTTAGCAAACCTGGGTGCTACTCTTGAAAGACTTTCTGAGCTTGGTGGAGGTTGGGAGGCCAATGACAGGTAGTTACCCAACTGTGGCAGACTGCCTGTTGTCTTCGAGAACACCTGTTCCCCACTTCATTCTTAGTACCAGAATGCCAGGCTTGAGGTGGGAATATTATGGATCAGACTACTTCTTAGCCTCTCTCAAAGCTAACTGTGACCTGATAAAGGTTCTGGCCAATCACATGATCGAGGGAACTTCTGGGAAGTTTCCTTACAGCTCTTGTTCTGATTCTGGGACTGCAAATGAAATAACTGGAGCACTGATAACTGTCTTGGACCCAGAGGTAACTTCAAGGATGGAATCCAAGTGCTAAGTATAAAAAGGCTGAAATATTTCACTGCATAGGTCCTTGATAACATTGTAGAGTTATGTTTCAGCTCTGAAATGCCTACATTTTTATAATTTAAGTCATTGTATTGTTAGCATTTTCAGTTCAGCTGTACCAAATTCAATGGATTGGTAATCAGTTGGGTAACAATTTGTTTTATAAGATCATAATCCTGACATTCCTGTTTCTATATCTAGCTTTTCTAGGAAAACAAATAAACAAAAAGAACCAAGGACCAAAGCTTGCTTAGAGATTAGAGAATAGTAAGGAGTTGGGTGTTATGTGGAGTCAAGGGCGCTGTGAGGAAGACTAGCTTACAAAGAACTCTGTGTTAAACTGTTGAATTTTGACTTTAGCCTGTAACAATATAGAAGCAGCACAGGAGGTTTCTGGTTTGTTTTAAGGAGTGTTATTTGGCTTTTCTAAAGACCACTGATAGAAATATGAGCTGATAAGATGCTAAAAGTAAGAATAAGATGCTGAAAGAAAGAAGCAAAGTGGGGAAGTACTTAGTCACTCAGGCCTGGGCGAGGCTGTGTGACAGGCAGAGGTGATGAGCTGGTTGATCCAGGAGCATGCCTGGCCCCAGTGACACCATGGGGTGACCTGCCCGCTCCAGACTCCAGGTTACAGTGCAAGAAAAATAAATCCCTGGCTCCTTATAGTGCCATTACTTGGATTTTCTTTTATAAGCAGCTGCACTCAATCCCTACCTGATGCAGGTGAATGGTGATACCATGATTTCAAATAAGCAATATCTGAGGAAAGTTAGGTTTGGACAAAGGCAAGATGGTAGCCAGAGTTCAGAAGAAGTGAACAGGCTCTGAAGACTCTAACCTCAGGAGTCAAATTTCCAAGCCAGGGAAGCTCAAGTGTAAGAAAAATTAATGGCCAGATATAAACTGTTCTTATTGAATGGCAGCATCAGCACATGAAACTAAAATACATGTATGACAATAGAAACTACATCTTAGATTAAAACTTGGTAAAAGAAACACATTGAAAAAAGACACCATTAAAAAAAATATGTCCTAAGTCAATATTCTTTTGATTT